TGGTGTGACCATTTGGATGTACTCTCTTGCAAGATTTGGAGGCTTTAAAGTTTAAGGCAGAAGTGAAGATCAAAGGGAATCATTCTCTCCTCTAGTCCGCAGTTTGGAATTTAAGGGTATCTACCCTTCCTAAAGCACCGCCTTCTCCCACTGGGGAGACCCAGTCATTACCCTTGGTTTATTAAGCATGCACTGAGGAGAAAACCAACATCCCCTTGCCCTTCACTAGACCACCTGGAAACCAGCTCAGTTTTAGCCTGAGAGGCACAAGCCGTTGGAACTGAGAAGCTTATAAAATTTAAAAATTTTTTAAAAATCGCAATATATAAATATGAACTGTTGTTGTTGTTATAACCACAGGCATGGAGAGCTGATTGTTCTCTTTATTGATTGATTGCAATGATTCTCACACCTGTACATCTTTTGCTTTCTTATCATCTTATTAAACATTGGTATTTCTGAATCATGCATGAGCTAGGTGACTCAACGGTTAGAGCACTGGGCCTGGAGTCAGGAAGACCTGAGTTTAAATTCGATCTCAGATACTTACTAACTGTGTGACTCTGGGCAAGTCACTTAATCCTGTTTGCCTTAATCCACTGGAGAAGGAAAGGGGAAACCACTCCAGTGTCTTTGCCAAGAAAACCCCATGGATGATATGGTCCAGGGGGTCAAAGAGTCGGATTTGACTGAACAACAATAAACTTCTGAATCAGTTTGAGATAGGCTGAAAGGTTACTATTTATTTGACACCACTCTCCTAGAGAACTTTCTACCCCTTAAATGACTTTAAGGCCATTGCTGGACAAGCTTGACCTTGGGTATATGATAAGCTTTGTTTGGACAACAATGGAGGAGGGGCTTACTTAGCACAACTAAAAGGAAAACTAAAACATACAAATAGTAAAAAAGGTAAGAGTTAATATAATGGCCCTGTGAAGGAGTGATTGAATATGGAGGAATTAGATTAGAAATCCTGAGCTTTGTTTCTCCACCTTGAAATGACTGAGTTCCAGAACTTAGCAATATGATGCATCTGGTGGTTGGTGTTCAACATGGTCGGCTCTTCATGACCCCACAAACCATACCATCTACAGGGTTTTCTTGGCAAAGATACTGGAGTGGTTTGCTATTTCCTTCTCTAGCTCATTTTACAGATGAGGAAACTGAGGCAAACAGGGTTAAGGGATTTGCCCAGGGTCATGCTAGTTAAGTGTCTGAGGTCAGATTTGAACTCAGGAAGATGAGTCTTCCTGACTCCAGTCCTGGCCCTCTATCCACTGTGCCATCTAGCTGCCCCATGCATCTGGTGGGTGATGCCAAATATTCGTAGTTCACAGTGGGTCTCCTGATATAAAGCGGTGATTATAAACAGGAGCTCCGGGAACATAAGGATTCTTAATGACACTTTTGGCAATAACCAATTCTCATTAGTGGACAGGGTCACCAGGATTAAGGTCATAAGGAAGTTATTATTCTCTTGCAGGAATGCCAGGGTCAACGCCAAGATTTGTCCTGCATCACCATGTACTCAATGTTCTTTCATCCACCTGCTAGGATATCCCCCTCCCTGGGAGCCCCACGGGGAGGGGATAACAGAGCTTTGCTTCTCTTGAGACCCTGCTGTGGGTCATTATTCTCCCTCTGTGGAGGCTGAGCAGTTATACCTATAGTCCCCACTCCATCCTATCGTTAGAAGCAAGACACCTCCCAAGAATTCTATCCCATCTCCCCAGTACGGCTCCCATCAACAATCCCACCATTTCTCAAACCCTCCCTGGGGAGGAGTTGTCTGTTGACTATTGTAGTGGCTGCAATGTATAGGGGCTTCATCGCCTTAGGTGAGTCACTTAACTTCTATCTGCCTTGGCTTTCTCACCTGTAAATTGGGGGTAATAATAGCACTGAGTTGTTGTGAGGATAAAATGAGATTCTATCTAAAGTACTTTGCAAATCTTCAAGTCCTATATGGATGCTACTTGTTATCGTTGTTATTATTGTCCTCGTGCCCAGGCTGGTACTCTCCCTGCCCCTTTCCTTCAGGGCTCCGCGCTTTTCCCTTTGCTGAGTCTGGAATGCTAACCTCTCTGCCAGAGATAAATGCTGCTGCAGGCCTGCATCCACACCCTGGGCTGATGCACCCCAGCGATCACGTCAGGAGCAGCTGCATGGAATGACCTAGGACCTCTAAGAGGTTCTGGCTAGCTGGGTCAGAGCTTGGCATCTCCTTCCTGAGAGAGGTCATTTTCTCCAATGCAGAAACTCCTCCTCCTCCAGTCAGTTCCGACTGAGGGACCCAGGAGCTCCTGACCTCTTCAATTTACAGGATTTCCACCAAAGCTAGAAGTGATTGACTTAGGATCACTGATATGCTCAGGGTAAGAGACGCAAAGAATAGGCAGCCAGGGGACTCATCCACACCAGTACAAGTACTCCATGTGTGCCATGTGGGAGCAGTCAGTATTCCTGCATGGAAGGGGAGAGAGAAAGAGATAGAAAGAGAGGGAGAGAGAGAGAGAGAGAGAGAGAGAGAGAGAGAGAGAGAGAGAGAGGAAGGGAGGAAGGGAGAGGGGAGAGAGGGATGGAGACAGAGACAGACAGAAAGAGTCACACACAGAGAGACAGAGTCAGAGAGACAGAGACACAGAGAGAGAGAGTCAGAGAGACAGAGACAGAGAAACAGAGACAGAGGCAGACAAAGAGACAGAGACAGAGGAGACAGACACAGAGAGACAGACACAGAATCAGAGACAGAGACACAGGAAGACATGAGATGCAGACAGGGACAGAGACACAGAGAGAGACAGAGACTCAGAGAGAGACATAGAGACAGAGACAGAGATAGGGAAGGAGAGAACTCTTTCATTTTAAATTGATAAAGCTCTCTGCTGTAGTCAAGGGGGTTGGGGTCAAGGGGACATCCAGAGTTAGCAGCATCATCTCAAAGTCCTTAGCCCACAAGAAGCTTGAGGTCTCATAGAAGATAGGTGGACTCATCTGTTTGTCTCCATTATGCCCCTCCCCTCCTTTAAGTATTTACTGACTTCAGCATATTGGCTTGGATGCATTTGTCCATCCCAATTCTAGAAGATTCTCTGGGGTGCTTAGGAGGCTCAGACATTGTGCTTTCAAGAGTCACCCTGGTGCTTTGCACTACAGAGTCTCAAAGAAGTCAAACGTCCTGCCTCAGGTCAATCTGGCGGTTCACACTGGAGAGTTAAAAGAAACAAGACACTCAGAAGCCAACTAACATTTTTTACAAGGAGAGATGCATTTGATGGTAGCAGGAAGATATTTAACAAGGTTCCAGCTCCAATCAGACTGGCCGCAGGTGCCCTATCTCTCTTTCTGCCTTGGCGGCAGACCTGGTTAGAAGTCTGTGCCCACGTCTGAGAAGACCCCAGCTTCTGGGCTGGGCTTTCATTCTTAGATGCCCAGGAATCTTCAAACCTTAGTCCAATTAAGTTTTGAGGAGAAAATTTAATTTTCCTTTTAGGAAAAAAACTAGCCTAACCTGTCGTGGCAGGGACCACTGTAGATACTGTTCCTCACACACACACACACACACACACACACATCTCATTTGGTTCTCACAACCCTATGAGGTGGATGTTGTTATTTCCATTATACAGATGAGGAAACCGAGACTCAGAAAGGTACCATGGAAAGTTGTGTCTGAGTCACAATTTGAATCTGTATCATCCTGAATTCAAATCTAGGCTCTAGCCACTATAGTACTCTCTAATCAGAAAGAAATGCACAATAAACAGAGGCAGCTAGATGGTACAGAGACAGAGACACACAGAGAGACAGAGACAGAGACAAGAGCACTGGGCCTAGAGTCAGGAAGAGTTGAGTTCAAATCCTGATTCAGATGAATGTTAACTGTGTGACCTTGGGCAAGTCATTTAATCTGTTGGCCTCAGTTTCCTCAACTGTAAGTTGGCAATAATAATAACACCTATCTCCCGAGGGCACAGTGCCTGGCACACTTTATAAATGCTTATTTTTATATATAAATAAATGTGCTTTATAAATGCCTATTTCTTCCTTCTGTTAAACAGAAAAGATAGGACCTGGACTTATGATTTTAATAATATAAAGAATGCCTGGGAGGCAGCTAGGTGGCACAGTGGATAGAGCACCAGTCTTGGAGTCAGGAGGACCTGAGTTCAAATTCGGCCTCAGACACTTACTAGCTGTGTGACCTGGGCAAGTCGCTTAACCCCATTGCCACCCCCCCCACCCCTCCAAAAAAAGGCCTAGATGAAGAAACTCCCTCTCCCAAGGGGGTGGACACCTTCTCTGCAACTTGGAGTTGCGTTTGAGGATTGCTGCTCTATAGCACAGAGAAGTTAATTGGCTTGCTCAAAGTCACACAGCCAGTATAATGTCGGAAGTAGGACTCAAACCCAGGTCTTCCCGGCTTCCAGGCCACCTCTCTATCCACTATCGTATTTACGTAAGCAGGCTTACATCATGAACAAAGTCCAAATTGTACCTTAAGGAGTGAGTGGCGGTGGTGGTAGGGTGTGTGTGTGTGTGTTTGTGTGTGAGTGTGTGTGAGTGTGTTTGTGTGTGAGTGTGTGTTTGTGTGTGTGTGAGTGTGTGTTTGTGTGTGTGTGTGTGTGTTTGTGTGTGTGTGAGTGCATGTGGGTGTGTGAGTGTGTGTGTGCGTGTGTGCGTTTGTGTGTGTGTTTGTGTGTGTGCGCGCTTGTGTGTGTGTGAGTGTGTGTGTGTGTGTGTGTGTGTGTGTGTGTGTGCGCAGGAGGGGGAGGAGGAACTGCTTGTTTTTTTCCTTTCCTCCTCTTCCAGTCTGCATGTGAATCTTCCTTATTAGATTAAGCAAGCGATGGGTGCTTCCGGAGCTCGCGCCCTGCCCCCCCTCCCCCCGGCCCGGAGCTGCGCCATCCCGTCCAGTTACACTCCACCCCCGATGCCCCTCCTCCGCCCTCCTTCCCGGCTGGCTAGCTGCCCGCACCGCCCGGGGCAGAGCCAGACTCCCTTGGCCATGCGCGGGGCCGCCGTGTGGGGCGCCCGCGCTGGGGCGCGCCCGGGCTGGGGGGCGATCTGGGGGCCCCCTCTCTTCCTGGGGCTGCTGCTGCTGCTGCAGGCGGGAAGGCCGGCCAGCTCCGTCAGCCCCGCGGCGGGGACAGCTCCTCTTCGCTTCAACGTGAGCCTAGACGAGGCGGCCACCCAGCGCTGGCTGCCCGTGCTGCGGCACTTCGACCCCAACTTCCTGCGGACAGCCTTGGCCACCGTCATCGGGTCAGTGAGCGGGGAGCCCGGGGGCAGAGGGGGGCGGACTGCCGGGCTGGGGACCACCGGGGCGGGGCAGGGGCTAGGCCTGGCATGGGAGCTCGTGCCCTGTCAGCTAGGCAGGCTCGATTGTAATCAAAGCAACTGGTTTCTGCTGCTGGCTGTGTTCCCTTAGATAAGTCCTTACCTTGGATAACCCCTCCGGGCCTCAGTTCCCTCCTCCGCAAAAGGAGGGGGTTGGGTTAAGTGACTTCTTCTAGCTCTAAATCCCCTCCTGGGAGCCGCACGACTCTGAAAGTCTATGGACCACTTCGATTGTTTTCTTCTGCGCTCTTCCCCAACTGGGTGTAGCCCTACAAAAAGAGGGTGGGAATGACACTGGAAGAATTCCTAATTAAATATGAGGACAAGTGGTGACAGGTTAAAGGGAGAAGCTTCTTTTGACCTGTGCAAGTGTGTGCCATCTAGCCACCCTCTGAGAACTGCGCTCCATTCAGCCTCATGAGAGGAGAAGGTGGGCTTGTACAGATCCTGGAAGGGACCTTAGAAGTGGTCTAGTCCATGGGTGGGGAACCTGTGGCCTTCTGGGTCCTTGGGTGTGGCCTTTTGACTGAGTCCAAGTTTTACAGAACAAATACTTTTATTAAGGAGATTTGTTCTAGTCTGGTCTAGTCCAACACCATTTTACAGATGAGGAAACAGAGGTCCAGAGAGATCAAGCAACTAGCCCCAGGTCATACAGGTACCAAGAGCTAACACTGGAATCCTATCCTAAATCCATGATTCCAAATCCAGTGTCCTTCTCACTACATTAGATTGCCTCTAGTGCAGCTAGGTGGTGCAATGGATAGAGCACCAGCCCTGAAGTCAGGAGGACCTGAGTTCAAATCCAGCCTCAGACCAAACACTCGACACTTACTAGCTGTGTGACCCTGGGCAAGTCACTTAACCCCGATTGCCTCACTAAAAAAAAACCAAAAACAAAAAAACAGATTGCCTCTAGATCATGTCATTTTACAGCCTAGGAAACTGAGGCTTACATGACTACTTTGCCCAGTGTCACACAGTAAGAAACAGATGCATCCCCCATCATCCTTTTCAGAAAGGTCGCTGAACATTTGTTTCTGTGTCTTTTTCAGGGAAACCGTCCCTAGCTGGGTTCATGATGTGCTCAGACCAGTGGCCTTAGAGTTGGATAAGTTCTTGCCTCAGCCCTTTGAAAGCGAGATTAGGGGAATGTGCAATATACTGGGCCTAAATATTGGAGACTGCGTCCTCATCAATCTTGCCTATGAGTTCAGTGCGTGAGTATCTCTTCAGATTCTAGCCCTGAGAAACTAACAAGGACCAGAGGTAATACATTTGTAGTTTTGAAGCCGCTTGAGTGAAAAAAGAGAGAAAATGGAATCAGAAGTCTTTCTCGTTTTTCATTTCAAATACTGATGCTTTCAAATCTTCCCACTTCCACCCCCTGTGCAATCTCTGAATTATTCTCACTTCCCTAGATAGCACAGTGGATAGAACACTGGGCCTGGCATCAGGAAGGCCTGCTTTCAAATCTGATTTTATACATTTGTGACCCTGTCTTCACCTCTGCCTGCCTCACTTTTCTTTCTTTTTTATTTAATATTTTATTCTCCCCAATTACATGGAAAAACAAATTTAACATTCATTTAAACATTTTTTAAGTTCCAAATTCTCTCCCTCCCTCCTCCCACATTGAGGACAAGTGATCTTATGTGGGTTATACGTGTGTAGTCAGTCATGCAAAACACATTTCCACATTAGTCATGTTGTGAAAGAAAATACCGACAAAAACCCCCGAAAAAAATACAGAACGTAAAGAAAAAGTATTTTCTATCTGCATTCAGACATCAGTTCTTTCTTTCTGCCTCAGCTTTCTCAACCATTAAATGGGGATAATAATAGTGCCTAGGTGTGAGGATCAAATAAGACATTATTTGTAAAGTGCTTCTTAGTACAACATAGTAGGTGCATCATTGGAAAAAAAGAAGAAAAGCAAAACCTGCATAACAAATATTCACAGTCAGACAAAATAAATTCCCTTATTGGCTTCGACTGTGTCCAAAAAACTCTACCATGTCTCTCCTCCGTGGCCGGCCGCCCCCCCCTCCCCAGTCTATCCCCTTTTTGATAGGAGGTGGGTATCAGGCTTCATTGTTGGGCCTCTGGATTGGGGCATTCCCAATACTCTCTCTGCTGTACCACATTGCCTGCTCATAATATTTCAGAGATATAATTAATTATTATTAAATAATATTCACATGATTAAAAACATTTAAAACATGATAGTAGCAGCAATTTGAACAGGACTTTGCAATTTGCACAGCTTCATAGATATTATTTTACTGGATAATCACAACAATCTTGTATTACAATCCTGTTTTTCCTGTAGTAATTAATATTTTTATAATGCTTGAAATTTGCAAAGTAGTTGACATACATTATCTAAATTTGGTGCTCAGGACAGTCCTTTGAGGAAGGTACTATGGGTATTATCATCATTTTATAGATGAGGAAACTGAGGTTTAGAGGGAGCGAGTGACCTGCCCATGATCACACAGCTAGTAAGTATCAGAGGTGGAATGTGAACCCTGGACTTTCCGGACTCTAAACACTATAGCACGCTGCCTGCACATGAGGAGACTGAGAAACAGAGATGAACTATTTATAGTGTTATAATGGGAGGTTAGATTCCTGATCAGGAATGGTTGCTAACTGCTCAGACTATATTTCAGTTCCACAAACAAATATTAAATGCCTGTGTGCAGAGCAAGGCACTTAACAGGAGTGGGGAACCTGCCTCCTGGAGGCCTTCTAGGTCCTTGGGCCTTTTGACTGAGTCCAGGTTTTACAGAACAAATCCTTTTATTAAAGGGATTTGTTCTGTGAAGTTTGGGGTCAGTCAAAGGACTGCACTTGAGGACCTAGAGGGCTACGTGTGACCTCGAGGCTGCAAGTTCCCCACCCCTACAGGGGACAGAAAGAGAAGGGAATAAGCATTTATATAGACCCTACCATGTACCAGGCACTGGGCTAAGTGCTGTACAAATATTCTCTCATTTGATTCTCACAACAACCTTGTGAGATAAGTGATATTGTTATCTCCATTTTACAGTTGAACAATTGAACACAATTGAAAAATGACTGAATAACAACTTCAGGCCCAGTGCTTTGCCCACTGCACTGCCTAGGTCTGGATAAAGTATGTCTCTTTTCGTCTAACAGACATAAAGCACGTAGGCAGACAGCCAAAATATACAAAAATACATCCAAGTACTTAGAGAGGTATCCAACAAAATGCCATGTGATGTCCAAGGAGGGACGTTATTGCCAGTGGGCGGGTGGGGTAGCAGAAGGGAAACAGGGAAGGCTGAATGAAGGAATGGATTTTGATTTAAAAGGGGATGGTGGGTGACACAGTGAATAGATCACCAGCCCTGGAGTCAGGATGACCACTGGCCTCAGACACTTACTAGCTGTGTGACCCTGGGCAAGTCACTTAACCCTGATTGGCTCAAAAAAAAAAGGTGATATAAATTCTTATTCCTATAGTTATATTTGTGCTATGATCATATTTGTAAGTTAAACACATATAGCATATGGAAATCACATAAGCTTGGCAAAAAAGCAAATTCTTGCTTTACTTGTACTGCAACAAGTCAGAAATTAAAGAAATAGCTTCATTGAAGTCTTAGAATTCAAAAGAATTTAGGGGGTAAATGATCCAGAAATTTTTGAAGTAATATTTTTGGGGATGCTGAGTGCTTATGGACTTTTTTTTTAATGAGCTAGATCTAGGGAAATGTGGCTGGCCCCTTTTTCTCATTGTATATTTTCTGTAACAAGTATGGATGTTAGAGAGCAGAATCTGTGTCCTCCAAATTGGCTGGTCGATGTCTGTTTGGTTTATGTGCTGTCTGCCACATGTGTATGTCACATTGGCTGGGCCAGTTGTACAACCATGGGAGAATGAATCTGTATGGGGCCCGGCTTCAGTGGCTTCCTGTGCTCTGATAAGAATATACAGTGGAGCATGATCATGGTGGCATTGTTGGCTTTAACTATTAAATGATGCCCAAAGAAAAAATTTTAATTATCATTTTTTTCAACGAATAAGCATTTATTTTCTCCCACCTCTTCGTTCCTTGTTGGAAAAGAAAAACAAAATGCTTGTCACAAATATGCCTAGTCAAGCAAAACGAAGTCTCTCATAGGTCTTGTCCAAAAACATCCGCTTCGTTCTGCACCTTGAGTCTGTCGTCCCTCTGTCAGGAGGCAGCTTTGTCATTAGTTCTGTGAACTCGTGGCTGGCCACCGAACTGATCAGAGTTCTTAACTCTTTCAGAGTGTTTCATTTTTATAGTATTGTTGTTATAGTATAAATTGTTCTCATTCTATTCACTTCACTCTGCAACAGTTCATAAAAGTCTTCCCGGGTTTCTTTGACACCATCCTTTTTACCATTGGTATTCCATTACATTCATATACCATAATTTGTTCAGTCATTTTCCAAATGATGGGCAACCCCGCCTCCCTTGGTTTTTGGTTCTTTGCTACTACAGAAACAGCTGCTAAAAACATTTTTGTACATTTCGGTTCTTTTCCTCTTTCGTTGAAAAGATAGAGAAGTGAAAAGTATCTAGATACTCATAAGCAATCATGGCTACATTGTATCTCCTTAACCCTGAGGATGCAATCAATGGCCAAGAACAAGAATTGAAGGGCAATGCTATGCAGATTGGGACTTCTCTGTCCAGCATTTGCATTGAACAGACAAACTATTTGAGTACAACCAATTTTTTTTTTTTTATTATAGTGTCACTCAGTTCTTTTTAAAAAAAAAGTATTGTGACCTTTGCAACCATCAACAAACACAAACATTTCAAGATAAAAATAATAGGGAAGAGGAATGTGTAAGAATTTTTTTTAAAGTTTTGTTTTGGTTGTATCGAACTTGACAAACACTCAATAGTGTCAACATTTCCATATACATAGAATAGAAAAGGGATTAAATCTGAAACTAGGAATCTCTATTAAGTACAACTTGCTTCTAAAAAAGTAGATAATAAATGTAAGATGTTCATTCCAGACCATGCTTCTGGTCTGTTTCTCTCTTTGAACTGCCTTTCTTTTCTGTCAATTTAAAATTTAAAGAATCTTCATTGACAATTTTTTTCTTTAGTCTTCAGGAATTACTATAACCAAAACAAACAAAAAACCCCCAAAGAAACCCCAAAACAAAAATTAATCTTCTTGTGGCCAGTTGGCTTATGACAGACCTTTTCAGGTCAGCTGGGATGGCTGCAATATGACAGCGATGCTCAGTCACTGCAGTCACACAGTTCTCTCTCAGCAGGACCTAGGAGACCATGTGCTTCATTGCAACTCTCTTTTTAAAAAAATTTTATTTTATTTTTCCCCAGTTACATGTAAAGACAAATTTTAACATTCATTTTTTTAAAAAAAATTGCATTCCAAATTTTCTTTCTCCCTCCCTGACTCTTCCTCACCCCTACCCCAAGACAGTGAGTAAGATAGGTTATACATTTATTGGAACTGTCTTTGAGAATCAAGGTTCACCTCCCCATCTCCATGACACGTCTGAGTGGGACTCTCACTGAGTTCAAATGATGACAAATGAGTGAAAATACTCAGAAAATTGTACTTTCTTTTATTTTTATTTTTTAGAAAATTGTACTTTCAAAAGGACTGAACAATTGTAAATATATATTTGTTGGCAGGGATAAGATCACATTTTTCAATTTTGGAGAAGTAGGAGGTAGTTTGCTTATGAAAAATTATTTTCAAAAAACTGAAAATGTATTTTTCCTTCTTCTTTTTTGCTTTCTCATTTCCTCACATTGGTGTGGTTCCCACTCCCACCCCTCTGGCTTTTCTTCTCAGATTCTGCACCAGCATCATTGCCCAAGATGTCCGTGGCAACATTTACCACGGTCGGAACTTGGATTATGCATTTGGAAATCTTTTGAGAAAGTTGACAATCGACGTGCAGTACATAAAGAATGGGCAGGTACAGTGGGAGTCTGGTGTGAACTGATGCTGCCTTCAGTGAAAGGAACAGTATCCAAATGTGCTTTCAGTATAGAACGTGGAAGTTAGGGGACTAGGTGATAGAGTTAAGAGTCTTCTTGTGAAATGGAAGGTCAGCTTTTACCTTCACACCCCAGTGAACGCTCCTCATTCAGATCGGCTGGTTTAAAGGAAGCAATCATTACTCTCCCAAGCTTAATTGACTAGTAGCCCTGCTTACCGATCTCTTGTTGATTAAAAAAAAATCCAATAGAAAAAAAAAGACATCTGTTTTTCAATCTTCCCATGTTAAAATGTAAGTACTTTTGTAAAATAATTTTTATTAAATACAAGTAGCATAGTTGGTGCTGGCGAGCTGAGTAAAATCAATCAACAAACTTTTATTAAGTTCCTACTGTGTTCTGGGGACCTGCTTGGCACTGGGGGCACAATCACAAAGAATGAAATATTTTTCCTAGCAATGAGCCTACATTCTAACAGAGAATATGCAAAAAAACCAAATGAACAAAAAACCCCCAAGATTATATATAGTAAAGATAATAAATACAGCTATGTGGTACAGTGGGATAGAGTGCTGGGCCTGGGATCAGGAAGGCTCGTTTTCCTGAGTTCAAATCTGGCCTCAGACACTTGCGAGCTGTGTGACCCTGAGCAAGTCACTTCACCCTGTTTGCCTTAGTTTCCTCCTCTGTAAAATAAACTGGAGAGGTGTGACAAATGAAAAGTTCAAGAGACATAATTTCTAGGTAATTAATAATAAATTTATTAATTCTGGCTAGTAAATTAATTATTAATTAATTAATTATTTAATAGATTGATGTCAGTGGCTTTCTCTTATAAACCAAAGATATCCTTTGGAGATTACTGAATGCTTAAAAAAGCCCTTGGAAAAGGGCAAAATCAACTCTGATTAGTTAATAAGGAGGTAGATGTATTAATGAGGAAGTGGGCAAAAAGCCTTCAGCTCCTTCTGCTGAGAATGTGACCTAATCATGAGACTAAGCCGCCTCCAGTAATCTGGACAAAAGAATCCAGTACCTCTTTGGTATCTTTATAGCAGGTGAATAAGAGTGAAATAAAAAAAAAGAACAAAGAAGAAACCATGTTGTTTCCCACTCCTTTTAATTTCCAACATTGTCTAAATTCAGTTGATTAATTTTTGTCTTATAAACAAGTGAGGAAGTTTGTAAATGATGATAGCTAGCTAGCATCTCTCCTCCAAAGCCACTGTAGAATTATGTACTTTTTTACTGAAATTCACAAGAATTTTGAGTAGGAGAGAAGAGGGAAACACATAGTAAATCTATACTATAATATTTGAGGTAAGAATTGTAAATATCTTGTTTCCTTTGATTTCAGATTGCATACACAGGAACTACATTCGTTGGTTATGTGGGTTTATGGACTGGACAAAGTCCAAAAAAGTTTACAATTTCTGGTGATGAGCGAGGTAAGCCGATGAACCTTCATGCCTTTTAATAGGCTTATTGACTATTCTGCCTACAGCTTTAGCATCTTAAACACAGTCAATGTTGGAAATTAAGCATGGCCATATTTGAATATCTGAATATCTGAACAGGAGACTGCCTGTGCCGGGGGCACAAAGCTGAGAGGCAGCAAAGCATAATGGGTAAGAGAGCTGCTTCAGGAACCCCTGAATTCAAGTCTGCCCTCCTTTAGTGTTATCTACTCACAAGAGGTGTTAGCCTTCCGTAGACTTTTCTTGCCCTCCTTTTCTCTTTCCCTTCCTTTCCCTTCCCTTTCTATCTCTTCTATGTATCCTTTTTCACTCTTATTTCACTGATAAGCTCCCTACATAGGATAGCTAACTCATTAAGATAGCCCTGCTTTTTTTTTTTTTCTTTTTCCACATTGGAATTAATGGTAACTGTTGGTAACACGAGAACTTCTGGTTGGTAAGCATGAGAACCTTTCATGCCTCTGGAGTCTCAAGTCATGGGACTGATCATATGGGCTTCTGTCTGAACTTTTCACAATTGAATCCTTTCCAAGCTAGGCTGCATCTGTGTGTCAGACTATGCCCAGTATACTTCTTATCTATCATGAACCCTAAGATGGTGTGGTATCTCCCTAAATTTTTAGTGCTGGTGTTTTTTTAAAATCAGGCATTACTTTTTTTTTTTTAAACTCATAAACCGAGTTCTGTTCTTTAGTCCAAGCACTTTTGAATCATTTTTCATGTGGTCACAGATTTAGAACTGGAAGGGACTTTTGAAGCTGTTCACTCCAACTCCTTCATTTTACAGATGAGTAAACTGAGGCCCAGATAAGTAAGATGACTTGCTCAGGTCACACAGGTAGTAAGTAGCAGGGCTGAGATTTGAACCGAGGTTCTCTGACTTTGAATTTTCTCTGAGGTTATTGATATACTCATTCTTAGAAATAACTCCTTACCTTTTTGTCCAGGGAAATTAATAAGGTATGGTGGATAAAAAAACAAACAAACAAACAAAAAAAAAAACCTGCCCTCAGAGTCAGGAAGATTTGAGTTCAAGTACTGCCTATGACATATACTGGCTGTGTGACCCTGAACAAGTCACTTAATCGCTGATGCATCCTAAGGAACTTCGGAAGTTGCAGAGTAGATGCTGACCTGTTGGTAGAAGTTTCCTCAATGGTATTCCCTACACATATGAAATTACAGGTCCAGTATCTATCCTCTTCCTTCCTACAAAGCAACAACACTGGTAAATAAGGGGTCTGGTGTAATACTTGCATGAACTACTGCTATTTGGGGTGGAGTATGCTTATGAAGAGATCAATTGTACTTGTCTGGTAGACTCATGTGTATAAAGAAATTGTTAGGGGCAGCTAGGTGGTGCAGTGGATGAAGCACCAGCCCTGAAGTGAGAAGGACTTGAGTTCAAATCTAGCCTCAGACCAAACACCTGACACTTACTAGCTGTGTGACCCTGGGCAAGTCACTTAACCCCCCCCAAAAAAATTGTTGTACCCTGGTTACTGGAACACACAGACCTAACTAATTCCCAGCAACTGAATGTTACCCAATATTTGGTCTACTGGGACTCATCCTTCCTTTAACTGTATGCTTTCTGCCAAGTCTTCAGGCTGTGTATTCACGAAATAAAATGGAAACTAACTAGATTTGGGGATTTTTAAAAGAATGCCATTTGAGCAGTGTATATGAAATTGTCAATTCTTTATTTTTATTAATTTTATAATGTAGGGATCAATAAACTTTGTTCCTGCCCCAATACTCTTTCCCCAATTTTGTAGATAAAGGTTTTTGGTGGGAGAATGCAGTGGCAGCTCTTCTCAAAAAAAATTGTCCTGTGAGCTGGCTCATCAGGAATGTAAGTATGTTTTCTGTTAAGTGTGTCCATGCTAACTTTGTCTTCTGTGCTGCGATTCACATTCTGATGTCCCATACTTCATATGCATCTTTCTAAGATAAGGAAGCTACATTATATAAACCCCTTCGCAGTCACTTTGGTATTTGCAAAGTCCTTGAAAACTTTGGGGTTGGTGTTTTCAGCAAGGCCCTGATTACAGGGGCAGGTGACCAGTTACAAAGTATTACAGAACTTTTTTGTTGGGCTCAGAGTGAGTGTAAATGGCAATTGTTTCTGTTCTGGCCAGAAACTCTGAGGGTCTTCTCCTATCAGATTGATTCTTTTATGTAGGCAAACTAGGTAATCTTTTGCCTCAATTCTTACCAAGCCTTTAACTACTGAATGGGTGTTGTCTCAGACAATTGAGACCTGGGAAAGACCTTAGCTTAAAAAGGCCACGGTCTCCCATTACATCCTGGGCCATCGCCAGTTGTCCTGACCTATGTCTTACCAGGACTCTGGAGGCGAAAGTGAGGCTAATGACTTTGCACAGCCCTGCCTCACTCAAATCCAATTGACTTACAAGTCAAGATATAACCCTCCTGATGTCATTGGTCCTCTTTGAGAATGAAGGACAAACAACAATATGTCTTTTATGCATATCATCAAGAGCTGATTGCCTCTTCAAATCTCTTCTGGACTCACTGAACCAATTTTTAAAGGTCGCTAGGAGTCATGGTCTACCATTCTTTATCCTATGACTTATGCTTCCTATTGGATTCTTTCATAAAGGATGACTTCATGTAGTTGCATATTTACAATATAAGATCTTGTAATTTGACCCCTTTTCTATGATAGGTCTGACAAGACCAATTCTCTTATAATTAAGCTTATAATAAAAAATAAATCAACCAAGTACTGCTCTACTTTGCAGGCACTTCTGTCACCCGTTTGTGTAAGACACCAGCATGTACAAGATTGATGGTTTTCATTTTTCTTTTTCGGTTAGACCCTGGAAGAAGCCGAGAACTTTCAAGCTGCTGTGATCAAACTGGCCAAGACACCCATTGTGACAGATGTTTACTATATTGTTGGAGGCGTGTCCCCCAAGGAGGGGGTGGTCATCACAAGAAATAGGGGTGGTCCTGCAGACATCTGGCCTCTTGATCCCACAAATGGACAGTAAGTGGAATTGGGAATTTCCTCCACCTGCTGATACCTGATACCTGTGAATCAATCAGATTCATAGAAAGTCCTGATGAGCAATGATATTTTTACTATTTACTATTTTAATATTAAATATTTAACATTTTATTTAACATTTATATCAAATTTTGGTTGGTTCTGAATTATATAGTCAAAATTATGTGTTTCTACAAGGCATGCCAAGGACCGCTTTCTCAGATTCTTTTTTTTTAACATATTGTTTCCTAGGTGGTTCCTAGTTGAGACAAATTATGATCACTGGAAACCAACTCCCAAAGGGGATGATCGAAGGTACATTTCTGCAGGGTTTGGGATTGAGGTACTTTTGCTCTATTAAAAAGGATGACTCTGTCATGCAGCAGCTTGGAAAGCCATAGAAGCCAAGAAACATGTCTTCCCAGGAATATTTGTTTGGCTTGGATTTGATGGTGCTACCGCTATTCAAAGAATGATATAGAAAAACGTCTTCAGTAGCCTCAGGAGAAGTCATTTAGCCAAAGGCAAGTCTAGCCACCTGGTTTTGCTGAGAGAGGCAATAGGGAAATTTGTTAGTGGAAGAACTACTCAGAAAGTAGGTAAGACCAGTTAGTTCTTGTCAACTTGGAAATGAGGTCTGCAGGTATTATTGTCTTTCCCCCCAAATCCTCCTCTCTGCTGAATTCCTCTATTTCTGTCAAAGGCATCACTGTCCTTGCAGCATCCCAGCTGGCATTATGTTCTATTTCTCTGTCTCCCTTACCCCCCAGAGCCAATCTGTTGCCAAGTTTCACCATTCTACCTGTACAATGTCTCTTGCAGCTGTCATCTTAGTTCAGGCCCTCCTCATCTCTTGCTTGATTATTGTGGGATCTCTGAATAGATCTCCCAGCTTCAAATCTCTTCCTATTGCAATCTCCCCTCCACACAGCTGCTGATGTGATTCTCCTTAACTGCGGAACCAAGTGCTTAATAAACTCCGCTGGCTCCCTAGTGCCTTAGGCTTCATCCTATCTTCCTGGTCTCATTATACAATACTCCCCTTCCCACACTCCAAGGCTAGGGCTCAGCCGTGTGTGTGTGTGTGTGTGTGTGTGTGTGTGTGTGTGTGCATGTGCGTGTGCGTGTGCGTGTGTGATGGACCCCACTGGCAATTTGGTGAAACCTATAGACGCCTCAGAATAATATTGTTAACTTTATAAATTAAAAGACGTAGGATAACAAAGATACCAATTATATTGAAATAAAGATATAATTTATATAAATAAAAATATATATGGGTTTATAGACCCCTCCTCTCTTCTCCCCCCCCACCAAACTCAATCCATGGATCCCATAGATCAAAAGGCCCATGTTTGCTCTGTGGTCTAGCCAAACTGATCTCCTCTGTTTCTCATATATAACCCTCCATTCCTGTTTCTCTGCTTTTGAACCGGCCATCCTCCATGCCTGGAATGTTTTTCCTCCTCACTTCCATTTCTTAGGATTCCGGTCTGTCTTTGAGGTACAGCTCAAAGGGCCACGTCCCACACAAGAGGCCTTTCCTGTTCTCTCTGTCTCTAGTGCCCTCCCTGACTATTTTGTACTTATTTGGTAGTTTTTCAATATATATTTATTCAGTGCATACTTATATACTTATAAGTTGTCTTCCATGATAGAATACACCTTCCTTGAGAGCAGAGACTGTCATTTTTTTTCTTTGTATCCCCAGATTTAGGCATAGCACCTAGCAGAGTAGGGTAGGTGCTTTACAGTAAATGTTTAGTGATTGATTGATAGTGGAATGTTCCAGGGAACTGAGCTTAGCCTTGTGTTATTTAATATTTTCACTAATGATTTGAATAAAGGCATAGATGGCATGCTTAGCAACTTTGTAGATGATACAAATTTGGAGAGATATCAAATACCCTTGTTGACAAAGTCAGGATCCAAAAAACTTTTGATGCGCTAAAAAATTGAATTGATTCTAATTAGATAAAAATGAATAGAGATCAATGTAAAGTTATACATTTGGGTCCAAAAATGAATTTCATAAGTACATTCATGATTCATGCTAATTAAGACTCAGCTGTAGAAGGCAGAGGAAGCATGGTTAGATAAGTTTGTTTGGAAAAGAAATTTTAGTGAACTGCATGCTCAATATTAGTTTACATTGTTATGGCAGCCGAAAATGCTAATGCAATCCTGGGTGGCATTTAGAGAGGAGTAAGTGCCGGGAATAAGGATATGTGAGAGCTCTGTTGTACCCTGCCCTACTTCTGAAATATTGTGGTCAGTTCTGTAGGTGCCTGATTTTAGGAAGGACATAGATAAGCTGAAGGGTATCCAGAGTAAAGTAATCAGGGTGGTGAAGGGCCCTGTGCCCATGCCATGTTTGAAGGCATGAGTGATAGAGTCTGGGAAGAAAACAAGGTAGCTATCTTTTCGTGTGCTTAGCAAATTTGCATATGGAGGAGGGGTCAGATTGGTTTTGCCTAATCCAGAAGACAAAACCAGGTGCACTGGATGGAAGCTGCAGAGAGGCGAATTTGGGCTGTGTGTCAGGAAAATTTCCTAACAATGAAGCTGCCCCAAAGGCCAATGGGCCATCTCTAGATAGCCACTTATTGGGTAGATTGTGGTGGGCATTCTGTTTCAGGTTTACTAGATTCTTGCTCATGTCCCTTTCCGCTATAAATTTTATAATTGGATGATTTGCTGTGTCTCAAACATCCCTCAAGGATTTTGTAATGGACAGATAACATTCAATGATTTCCCCCACAGAACACCTGCCATCAAGGCCCTTAACGCAACTGGACAGGAACATATCAACTTTGATACACTTTTTAAGGTACCTTGAGGTTTTTTTAAAAATTTTTTTGTACAAATGATTCAGAAATCTATTAACATAACAAAATAGTGCCATAGAATGACAAGATTTGAAAACAGGTAGCAGATTATATTTGGTTATCAGAGACAGACTGATGAAATTATTTGTGTTGGGATATTACCTAGCTGAAATACTCTTACTTTCATTTTATTTTTAATAAAGGGGGTTGATAATTTCTGGACTTGTTGTTTAGGTGAAGTAATTAAGTTATCTTCTTTCTTTCTCCCCACCCTCTATATCCAATTACTGTAATGTCTTAGCCCCCTTCTGTCCTACTTGTATTTCAGCTTTGTTTCAAAGAATTTGTGTATAATGGAATTTTTTTTTTAATTTTAAATGCAGGTTTTATCAGTGGTTCCAGTTCTGAACCAGTAAGTGTCTTCAATGTCATTAAGAATGTCTGTTTTCTCATTTAACATTTTATTTTCCCTCCAATTTCATATAAAAACAATTTTTAACATTCATTTTTTTTTTTTGGTGAGGCAATTGGGGTTAAGTGACTTGTCCAGAGTCACACAGCTAGTGAGTGTTATGTATCTGAGGCCGGATTTGAACTCAGGTCCAGGGTTGATGCTCTATCCACTGTATCACCTAGCTGCCCAACATTCATTTTTAAAAAATGTTGAGTTCCAGATTCTCTCCCTTATTGAGAAGGCAATTTGATATAAATTATACATGTGTATTCATGGAAAACATTTCCATATTACTCATGTTGTGAAAGAAAATACAAACCAAAAAACAAAGCAAAACAAGAAAAATAAAGTAAAAACGTTTGCTTTGATCTGCCTTCAGACTCTCTTAGTTCTTTCTCTGAAGATGGATAGTATTTTCATCAAAAGTCCTTCAGAATTATCTTGGATCATTATATTGCTGAGAATAGCTAAGTCAAGAAATGTTTTAACCTATACTGGAGGGGAATGGCCTCATGTTTATCTCAGGGAACAAGGGAAATCTGTAAGAAAAATGGTGTTTGCCATTCATAGACATGAATTATCTTTATTTGTTATCAATCACAGAATAGGACTTTGTGCTTGTTTTATTTCCTTCCCTATTGTTCACTTCTCCACTCCTTCCCATCTGACATCTGGATCTGCTGCTTGACTGAATCTTGCCCTCTGCAGTGTTATCAACAATCTCTTAATGGCTAAATCCAATGGCATTTTCTCAGTCTCCATCTTTGGGAACTCTTTAGCAGCATTTTACATTGGTGACCACTCATTCTTCCTCAATACTCTCCTTTCTCGGGGCAGCTAGGTGGCACAGTGGATAGAGCACTGGCCCTGAAGTCAGAAGGACCTGAGTTCAAATCTGGCCTCAGACCAAACACTTGACACTTACTAGCTGTGTGACCCTGGGCAAGTCACTTAACCCCAACTGCCTAAAAACAAAAAACAAAAAAAAAATACTCTCCTTTCTCTTGGCTTTCCTGATAATGCGCTTTCCTGTTCTCTTCCTACCTCTCTGGCCATTCTTTCTCAGTCTTCTTTGCTGGATTATTATCCATGTCCTATTCCTAGGTTTGGATATCTCCTTTAGTTCTCTCTCGGACCCTTCTCCTTTCTCTGTATTCTTTCTATGGTCAGGGTTTTTTTCTCATTTTAAAGTCTATTTTGTGACGTTTAAAGTTGAACTCTGTTCCTGGGGCACAGGGGTATCTGTCCCAAGCTTCTTGTGCTGGGGGCCAGAGGCCTGGTCATTGGCTTTCTGCACTGGGGCTTCAGGAGCTTACTCACTGTGCTGGGGTAGCCTGGGATAGTGGCACCTGTCGTGCCAGGGAGTTTTGGGGCTGGCAGTTTGCCTTCCGTAATGGGGCTGGAGGTCTCACAACTGACCTTCTGTGCCGCTGGCCTGCTGAGCTGGAGCGAGGGGCCTAGTTTGCTGATCTGTGCTATGGCTAAGAGCCTCCCACTGGCTTGCCTGGATACCTTCCGCACTGGGCTGTACTCCCCTTTCACCCAAGTGAGACAGGCCTTTCCTGAAGTCCTTCTAACTTATCTTAAGCTGGGAAATCATTTCACTCTATCTTTTTGTAGGTTCTGTCACTCCAGAATATATTTAGAGGGTTGATCTAGTGTTGTTTCTTTTATTCTTTTAAAAAATAAATAAATAATTAATTTTTAGTTTTCAGCATTCACTTCCATAAGCTTTTGAGTTCTAAATTTTCTGGGCCTCCTTCCCCAAGATGGTGTGCAATCTGATTTAGGTTCTACGTATACATTCCTATTAAACATATTTTTACATTAGTCATGTTGTAAAGAATTAGAACCAATAGAAGGAACCACAAGAAGGAAGAAACAAAACAGAAGAAAAAAAAAGAGCAAATAGTAAGCTTTGGTCTGCATTTAATGTTGTTTGGAAGGGAGAGTTAAGCCAACCTCCTGGCTTTTCTCCATCATCTTAGCTCCCTTGGGCAATCTAATCAAAGAATTTATCACCACCCAAACCTGAGTAGAGTGCAATGGGCTTCCCCACCTGGGTGGGGTCTGAACAAGATTGAGGAGAAAGTTAATTCAATCTCATTATCAGTGATGTCCTTCAGAGAATGAACAACCTACAGGCTTTTGAAAAAATCCTGGTCCTAATTCAATATTTGATTATTAATATTAGAAAGGAATAATCATTTCTCTCACATTTCAGTCATATATACTCTGTTTATCAGAGGGTCTCACCTGGGCTATGATCACATGTGCGTGTGGGGTATATGTATGTACGTGCACATATGTATACACATATAGAGATCTCTGTGTTTAGATATAGACAGAGAGATCTATCTATCTATCTATCTATCTATCTATCTATCTATCTATCTATCAAGGGAGTGAGGGTTCTTAACATTTTTATGTCCCAGACACCTTTGGCAGTCTGGAGAAGTCTAAGAATCTCTTCTCCAAATAATGCTTTTAAATGTATAAAGTAAAATATATAGGGTTAACTTCTAGGGCTGTATCCCAAAGAGATCATAAAAATGGGAAAAGGACCCGCATGTACAAAAATATTTATAGCAGCTCTTTTTGTGGTGGCAAAGAGTTAGAAATTGAGGGGATGCCCATTAATTGGGGAATGGCTAAACAAGTTGTAGTATATGATTGTGATGAAATATTATTGTGCTATAAGAAATGACAAGCAGGCAGACTTCAGAAAAACCTGGAAAGACTTGTATGGACTGATTCTGAGTGAAGTGAACAGAAACAGGAGAACATTGTACATAGTAACAGCCACGTTGTGCGATGAATAACTCTGATAGACTTAGCCCTTCTCAGCAATGCAAGCATCTAAGACATCTCCATAAGTCTAATGATGGAAAATGCTATCCACATCCAAAGAAAGAACTATGGAGTTTCAATGTAGATTGAAGCATACTATTTGCTCTTTTTTTCTTTTCTGTTTTGTTTTGTTTATTCTTTCTTGTGGTTCCTCCCATTGGTTCTAATTCTTCTTTACAACATGACTAATATGAAAATATGTTTAATAGGAATGTATATGTAGAACCTATATCAGATTGCATACCCTCTTGGGGAGGAAGGTGAGGAGGGAGGGGGAGAAAATTTAAAACTCAAAAGCTTATGGAAGTGAATGTTGAAAGCATAAAATAGATTAATTAATTAAAAAACCCCAAAAAATATGTATGGGGTTATAAAGGAAACCAGTTTTATTGAAATAGTTATCCATATATGTATAAAATGTATATAAATAATGCTTTTAAATATATAAAATTATTTTAAAATAGATATTTTATTTTATACGTAATATATCATGAAATGAATATATAATATACATATATTTTATTATGTAAATGTTTTATTATATAAATAATGTAATAATATAATATAATAAATAATACAGACAAATCCTGAGGCAGACTTATGCCTCAGACAAGTAAATTGCCAAGGATCATCCCCGTACACCAACATATGTTTATTTTGTCTCTCCTGATAGAATTAAGCTCCTTTAAAGGAGGAATTTTGTTTAATTTGTTTTCTTTGTATTCCCAATGCCTAACACTACCTGTGCATAGCAAACACTTAATAAATGTTTGTTGATTGATAAATTACCTTCTACGTGTAGCGCGCCATGCCAGGTGCTGATGAAGATGCAACATTTAGGAAGGCAGTGTGGTAGAACAGCTGCCTCTAGCACTAGCTATGTAACCATGGGCAAATCATTTGCTTCCCTTAGCCTCAGTTTCCTCATCTGTAAATTGTATAGATGAGAGAATCACCTGTATTACCTATCTCATAAGGTTCTAATAAAATTCAAATAAGATAATCTGTGTAAAGCTTTCTACAGACTGATAAAGCATTTTGCAAACCTTAACACACTATGTAAACGTCAGCTGTTATCATTGTTATTACTTCCCATGTATATCATATGTACCTTGTATGCATATAGCTGTCAGCATATTATCTCTCCCATTACAATGTGAGCTACTTGAGGGCAGGCATTGCATTGTTGCCTGTTTTTGTATTCCCAGTGTTCAGGGCAGTGCTCGGTATGCATTAGGAGCTTAATAAATGCTTGTCGATTGACTACTGGATATAACACAATCCCTCCCCTATTGCAGGCTTATAGCCTAGAAGGGGAATAAGTTATAAACACAGATAACTTTAATAATATTGTATTTACTATAATTATAATAGTAATATACAGATAATAATGATATTACATGATAGCATATTAGTATCACAATCAGTCCTTGAACCCAGGCCTTCTTGTCCCAGATTTGGTGCTCCTTCCACTTACTAGAACATATTGCCTATCCTTGGCATGTATGCAGACATGTGTATTTGCACATGGGGCTGGATATGTGTGTGTGTGTGTGTGTGTGTGTGTGTGTGTGTGTGTGTGTGTGTGTATGACTTAAGACTGTGAGGAGTCTTTTCTTTTTTCTTTTTTTGTGGAGGCAATTGGGGTTAAGTGACTTGCCCAAGGTCACACAGCTAGTAAGTATCTGAGGCCAGATTTGAACTCGAGTCCTCTTGACTCCAGGGCTGGTTCTGTATTCATTGCACCACCTAACTGCCCCATGAAGGGTCTTTTCAGTAGAAGTGGGTTAGTATTCATATGGAAGGACTTTGAAAATATTTATCTTCTGTATAATATATGGACTCATGAGTAACCTTGCACAATTACACGATTTCCCCAACTCTTTTGTTTCTGGCCAAGAGATTGCTCACAATCAGTACCATCAGTACTCTGGAATGTATACAACTGCTTGGGACAAGCAGGAATGTGTGATTAGTTATTCCTGGCCTAGGGCCCTTTGGGAGCTTTGATCAGGCTCAAAACTACATGGCTAGGATCATAGTAGCATCATGGGTATGCACAAAGTAGGAGGAATCAACCAGTCAGCTGCTCCAGCATCATTGAGTATGCAAAGGGTGCAGAGAGATGTCCTATGTGTCTAATGTTAGCTCTACCATTAGGGACTTGAGCTCTGAATTTGAAGTGCTTATGTCACAGATGCCCTGTCTGGCCCATCACCCAGAAGAGGTTTATGTGAGCATGGTTACCCGATTATCTTGCTTTTATCTTCATCAGGGATGATGATAGGCGTGGACCATCCTTTCTCTCTTTTTCTTTCAGTTTAACAATTTATACAACAGTAATGAGCGCTGCAAAGCCAGACAACTACACAACTCAGATCAGAAACTGAGGGCGAAAGACGTAAGTAAAAACAAGAGGGAATTTAATTTAACCATAAAAACTGCTGAAGAAATGCCTACTGCTTCATTGGCGGAGATTTTTCTCGTAAAGGAAAGTAACCCTGTGTCACATACTTGACATGAGATGGGAAGGTCTTCCCCCGCTAGACTGTAAGCTCCTTGAGAGCAGGACTAGTGAACCAATTGTCTTTGCATCTTTCTTAGCAAATCTGCTCATTGTAGACACTCAATATTTATAGAATTGTATTGAAAAAATTATAAAACTATAATAATGGCCATGGGCAAGTCCTTTAACCCTGTTTGCCTCAGTTTCCTTATCTGTAAAATGAGCTAGAGAAGGAAATGGCAAACCGCTCTAGTGTCTTGGCCAAGAAAACTCCAAATGAAGTCACAAAGAGCCAGATATGACTGAAACAACTGAACAACAACAGCGCTTATATGGCACCTACTATGTGCCAGGCACTGTGCTGAATACTTTATACTTATTATTGACTGTCATTAAAACCCTAGGAGGTAGTTGCTGCTATTAACTCTATTTTACAGGTGAGGAAACTCAGACATGAACAGGAGTTAAGTGACTTGCCCAGGGTCACACAGCTAATGAGTGAGGACAGATTTGAACTCAGGTCTTCCTAACTCTACATCAGTCTCTCTATCCACTGCATCACTTCTGTTTGCTTTGAATATTGACACGGAAACTGAGCTCCCATGTTTATATTGTAGGTCTGGGAGAAAACTTTCTCAGTCACTGACTCACTGTAAATGTGGGGATAGGGCCTTTAACCTTCAATGCTTGAGTTTTTCCAACTGAGAATCAGAATCCATGAGATTTGTTGTACATCTGTCTAAGAAAAGTGGTGATGATGGACGAGAGTTTATGCTGAGGTTTTGGGTAAAGCTGATCACAGAGATGTTACCATAGCCTGAACTACTAGTAACCATACCTCTTTAACTTACAGAACTCTTAGCAAGAACTTGCCCTGTGCTTATGGAAAAGCAGATATTGCATCTATAAGCATGGCTTATTCCTGGATTTTTTTTTTAAGGCAATGGGGGTAAAGTGATTTGCCCAAGGGTCACACAGCTAGTGTGATGTGTTTGGTCTGAGGCCAGATTTGAACTCAGGTCCTCCTGACTTCAGGGCTGGTGCTCTAACCACTGTGCAACCTAGCTGCTCCTTATTCCTGGATTTTAAACTACTGGTTCTTTGGGCATTAATTATTGAGAAACAGAGTGTACCCTTGAATGACTTTAAATTAAGAGAGGCTTGTATATCCCTAGGTGTTCCTTAAAATTTGGTTTAGTTTGAATCCTTGATACTTTGAAAGGTGAATTTTTTAAAGTTTATTTACTTTTCCCTTCCAACAGGTGAAAAGAAAAAGATGGATTTTCCAAGCACTGCAATGAAAAAAACCCAAGTGAATGTACTGTAATCTCTTTTGAAGACATCTACTTTATACCGTGCTACCGTATCCAAGTGGAACCCTATAAAACCAGTTTTAGTAAGGAAGATGATGACAGCTGCTGCCCAAAGGGGTTAAATTTTTCAACCTCATTCACAACTGATATTCAGAATCTTCCCTGATTTTATTTATCCTAATCTGAATATCCTAAAAAGACAGGTGCTGTTGGCTCTGTCTATTAAAAAATGTATACTATTAATAAATACATAACGGTCCACCTCTCCATGCCCCAGGCTATCCCCCTGTGAAGTGAACTGGTGAAGATAAAGAACTATTGTGAAGTGTTTAGGGAAGAAATAGAATTCTAACAGATACACATATTGAGCCTATATGATGCCTTCCATTTTGGATAATGAAAGCGTGATTTTTATTATATTTTTCTATGCAACTAGTATTTCTGATCTTTTATGAAGTTTCTGTTTAAAATTTCTACTAGACTTGAGTCAGTTAAAAAAAAACTAACCTATTTTCTTATTGTTTCTAAATAGTAATCCACCATCCCAGTCATCACTATGATTATGTCAATTGCTGGGCTAGGCAACAAATTGTTAAACAATTTCGAACAATTGAATAAAAACTTTATAAAGATATTGTATTGGTATTTGTGGTATTCTCCTTAACTTTCTTTTTTTATCTATCAGAAAACTATGGTTCTGGTCCACTGCCCCCAAAGCATAACATCTTAGTGATAGAAAAAGTCCATTTGTGAACCCAAGAAAGAAGTGATTTCCTGAAGCTATTTATTTGCAGAAGGAGTTGTTTGTTTGTTTTTAACAGGTTCCAGAATATTTCACATAGTAGGAGCAATAGCTACCAGCATCCCTACCATGTAGGCTGGGTTAGTTTCCCCCTAAAAGTCAAGGAAGCTTTACTAAGGTTTGATTATTTCAAGGGGCTAAGGCTTGAGTTTCTTGGTCACGTAGGGCAGAAGAAACTGGTGTCTTTCGGATTTGGTGGATGTCTGCCAAACCCATATCACCCAACACATCCTGTTGACTGGAAGTTTCTGTATGGTGATGGTTATGTCAACCTCACTCAGGTCTGTGTCCTTAAAGAAGATCCTTCCCATGCTCTCATTAAGTCAACTGTTTTTTAAAAATTTTTTTCTCCTCAGTGACAGCACTGCCATCCTGTTAATTTATACTCATCTAATCATAGTTAATTGCACTCCAGAAAGAAGTCTAAAATTCCATCAGAGACCAGGTTCCCAAAGTAAGTGAGCTCTTCCCTGGGAATGAATTTATCATTTAAGGAGATGCATCAACATTTTTCAGGCCACTAAGACATGTAAGTAATAATATTCTCAATTTAAATTATGCCTAGATGACAAAAATAATCCTATTAACACATTTTGGTTATTTTAGTTATTTACTTATTTATTTTGGTTATTTATATTGGCCTTCAAACAAAACTGACACTGTAAGTCAACTTTTCTTAGAGTGTCAGTTGGTCCACAAATATCTCATTTCATTCAAATGCTGAGTTTGAACTGCTGGACCAGCAGACAATGTTAGTGTCCATGACATTGACTTGGAATTGCGATCTGAAGATGCGATCCCATATGATGGTTGACCTGTATGTCCAGAGGAGCATTGGATTAGATAATCTGGAACTTGGAAATTGGGATGGATTCTACTGTGTTCTTATTCTTCATTGTTGTAACCAACATTCTTATGTATTGGATCCTTTGGCTTCTGAGACCAACCTGACCATGAATCGTCCTGTGAAATCTACGCATACTAACACTGAATCATGGGCCAGACGCTTTCCAGACTGTGGGAAAGAAAGAACTCTGATTCAGTTTAACTGAACAACATTTACTGAGCGGGATGTACCTCCATTGGTTGTAGAGCTAGGAAAACCTGGGTTCATTTCCTCCCTTCTGATATGTTCCAGCTATATAGATCTAGGCAAATTCCTTAACCTCTCTGTGTCTCACAGGGTTCTTGAAGGTGCTATCTTGAAGACAATGCTTATAAAGCATTTTTAAAAATTTTAAAAATGATTTTTTCGAATTACATGTAAAAACAAAGTTTAACATTGGGTTTTTAAAATTTTGAGTTTCAAATTCTCTCTCCCTCCTTCTCTCCTCTTCCCTTCACTGAGAAGGCAAGAAATTTGATATAGGTTAAACATGTGCAGTCCTGCAAAACATATTTCCATATTAGCCATGTTGTAAAATAAAAACTGATCCCCCTCCCAAAAAAAAAAACCCCAAGGAAAATAAAGTGGGTTGTTTTTTTTTAAAGTATGCTTTGATCTGCATTCAGCTTTCTTTGGAGATGTATTGCATCTTTCATCATGAGTTCTTCAGAATTGTCCTACTTCATTGTATTGCTGAGAATAGCCAAGGCATTCACAGTTGATCATTGCACAGTATTGTCATTACTGTGTACAATGTTCTTCTGGTTCTGCTCACTTCACATTGCATCAGTTCATATAAGTCTTTCCAGGTGTTTCTGAGAGCATCTTGCTCATCATTTCTTATAGCACAATAGTATTCCATCACAATCATATACCACAGCTTGTTCAGCCATCCCTCAATTGATGTGCAGCCCCTGAACTTAAAATTCTCTGCTACCACAAAAAGAACTGCTATGTTCTTGTACATATAGGTTCTTTTCCTTTTTTTTTTTAATCTCTTTGGGATACAGACCTAGTGGTAGCATTGCTGGGTCAAAGTTCTATATGCACAGTATTATAGCCCTTTGGGCATAGTTCCAAATTGTTCTCCAGAATAGTTGGATCAATTCAAAATTCCAACAGTGCATTAGTATCTCAGTTTTCTCACATCTCCCCCAACATTTGTCATTTTCCTTTTCTGTTATATTAGCCGGTCTGATAGGTGTGGGGTGGTAACTCAGAGTTATTTTAATTTGCATTTCTCTAATCAATCATGATTTCTAAATTTTTCTTAATTTGAAATTTTTTAAATTTTCTGAATTTTTAAATATGATATAGTTTTGATTTCTTCATGTGAAAATTGTCTGTTCATATCCTTTGACTATTTATCAGTTGGGGAATGACTCATATTCTTATAAATTTGACTCAGTTACATATTTAAGAAATGAGACTTTTACCAGAGAAACTTGCAGTAAAAAGTGTGCCCCAGTTTTCTGCTTTCCTTCTAATCTTGTCTGCATTGATTTTGTTTGTGCAAAACCTTTTTAATTTAATGTAATCACAATTATCCATTTCACATACTGTAATGTTCTCTATCTCTTGTTTGGTCACAAATTTTTCCCTTAACCATAGATCTAACAGGAAAACTATTCCATGATCACCTAATTTGCTTATAATATCACCTTTTATATCTAAATCATGTACCCATTTTGACCTTATCTTCATATACAGTGTGAGATGTTGGCCCATCCCTGGTTTCTGCCAAACTGCCTTTCAGTTTTCCCAGCCGTTTTTGTCAAATAGTGAGTTCTTGTTCCAAAAGCTTGAATCTTTGAGTTTATCAAACATTAGATTACTATGGTCATTTACTACTGCGTATTATGTACCTAATCTATTTCATTGATCCACCACTCTATTTCTTAGATAGTACCAGGTTGTTCTGATGATTACTGCTTTGTAATATGGGGCCATCTCCAGTCATCCTGATCTATATCTCACCACTGGACCCAGATGGCTCCAGAGGAGAAAGTGAGGCTGGTGACTTTGCACAGCCCTCTCTCACTTAAATCCAATTCACTTGCAAGTCACTTTCCTGATGTCATAGTTGTCTTCAAGAGCAAAGGACAAACAAACAGCTTTGTGATACAGTTTGAGATCTGGTACAGCTAGGCCACCTTCTTTCACATTTTTTTTTCATTGATTCCTTTGATATTCTTGACCTTTTGCTCTTCTGGATAAATTTTATTTTTATTTTAATATAAATAATATAAATTTTATTCATTATTTTTTCCAGTTCTATAAAATATTTTTGGTAATTTGATTGGTATGGAACTGAATAAGTAAATTAATTTAGGTAGAATTGTCATTTAAAACATTTTCTAAAGCTTAAGGTGCTACAGAAATATGAACTCTTATTGTTATGTGCTAAGTTATTCAAGGAATGGGAAAGACATAGGAGATATGGTCTCTACCTTTAAGAAGCTGGATATCTAACTGGAAAGATGAGGCAGACATATGAAGCAATTGACAAAGTGTGAAGAAGTACATGATTTAGCATTAATATGAACGATAAAACAGCAAGAACTACTGAAAATTAATATCAACAGACACTGGTAGAGCCTGGAAGGACCAGGAGAGCTATAACAACAACAACAATAAATCACATTTAAAACTCTAAGAGGATATGAATCGCCTACAGTTTATATCTCTCAGTGCCTAGCACAGTACTCGACACACAAATAGATACTTGGTAAGTATGTGTTATGCATATTCTTTTACAAAAAACCCTTTCATTATGGCTATGCAATAGCTTCCTGATTTTACAGATGAGGAAACTGAGGCACAGACTGTGTGACTTGTCCATGGTCACACAGCCTGCAAGTACCAAAGACGGTATTTGAATTCAGGCCTACCTTCTGACTCCAAAGCTACTTAATATTTTGTTCTCTCTGGGCCTCACTTGTGATCCCTAAGATTCCTTCCAACCCTGAATCTCATATTCTTCATTGCATATTCAAACTTAGAAATATGAAATCAAGTTTCTCCCCTGCCTTAGTCTAGTTGCTCTCTGCTGCCCTCTGGTGGTGCCCTATAAAACTGCACATTACAGAACAGTGCATTGATGTAGAATGGTGGTAAAGCCATTGACTGCCTTTGAGAGCAGCCCACATCTCTAGTGTTATGGGAGACAGGTACAGGTGCAGAGAGAATCAGAATACTTGGCTGATGCTAATTCTCTCTCTCCTAGGGAGCCTTGCAAAGACATTGGAGCAGACGTAGACACTCTGTAACTGGTACTGATTGGCTAACTTCATGGGGAATAGGAATCTTTCTGATTGTGGAGGCATCAAAAAACACCAGTGGCCAGAGCCTCAGTCATTTCCATTTGGCTCCTTTGCTCTTGGCTTGACTCCTGTTAAGTAAGAGATGATGCTTTAAAGGGAAGAGACCTTGGGATCCCCACTGATCTTGACGTGTGGCCCACTGAAACTGGCCTCTGGGATCCTTAACTTCTGCATATGTTCTTTGCTGATGTAGTTGAGGAGATTAGAGCTGCCCTTAGCTGGTATTGAAAGGCCAGGAGAATGAATGTCCAGGTGTCCTGGAAGATTCATAGCCAGTGAGCATGGATGAAATCAGGGAAAGAGGGAGTGGCCTTTGGGAAGTGACCTTTAGGATCCAGCCCAGCAGTGGCTAAGATGAAGACTCATCTGGCAGTCATGGTAGTCATTCCACATCTGCATATGAACTTGGTGGGACCTATGCAATGTAGGAACTGAGCTAAGTTTGAGCCAACTCTTCCGGAGACTGAGGTGAATTTTCTCTGAAAATTTTCTGTTCATATTCCTTTGACCATTGTCTATTGGGGAATGAATCTTGTTCCCATAGATTTGAATCAATTCATTATATATCTTGGAAATAAAACCTTTATCAGATAATTAATATTATCCTATATGATATAATTTTCATT